GGGCGTTACCTGGCGGGCGTTACCTGGCGGGCGTTACCTGGCGGGCGGTTACCTGGCGGGCGTTTACCCGTTTACCTGGACGCCGTTTACCTGGCGGGCGATTACCTGGCGGGTGGTTACCTGGCGGGCGATTACTTGGCGGGCGTTTACCTGTTTACCTGGCGGGCGTTACCTGGCGGGCGGCGTTGAGCGGGGAGCAGCCGGTGAGGCTGCAGCTTTCCGGGGCGGCGCAGCGTTTGCTGACCGACAGACTGCGGCCGGCGGCGTCCATCATGTGCAGCGTGTGGCAGAAACGGGCGTCTGCGGAGAAAACGGGTCAGAGGGGGCGGAGCCAGAGGAAACGAGTCAGAGGGGGCGGGACCAGAGGGGGCGGGGCCCAATATCAGTATCTTTACTATTCTTCATCCAGTCTGTGTTACTGTGGAGGATGCCTCTCTCTCTGTCCTCTCTCTCTCTACCTCTACCTCTATCTTTCTGTCCTTCTCTACCTCTCTCTCACTCTTCATCTCTCCCTCTGCCCTTCTGTCTTTCTCTCTCTCTCTCTCTATGTATATGTATCTCTTTCTCTCTCTCTCTGTCTCTCTCTCTCTCTCTATCTCTCTCTCTCTCTCTGTTGCCCTCTCTCACCCCCCCTCTCTCTAGGCAAATGCCCCCCCACCCTGATTCATGGTTATTCTCCAGATTTCTTCCTCCTAAAGGCAGTTTTTCCCTCCCTGTGTCTCCTAGTGCTGCTCTGGGTGGAACTGTTGTTCTTCTGGAAATAACTTCAGAGTCTGAGCTGCTCTGGTTGGATAGCTGGGAGATCCGTGCTGTTGTTGATAGATATAGAAATAGATTGTAGTTTATAGATATAGAAATATAGATGTAGAAACAGACCATAATACTCTGGACCTACGTGGGGGGCAGTACTGGTCGGGGGCCCAGCGGTTGCAGTCGTAGTTGTCCGGAGCGTCCTGGCAGGTGAAGCACTTGAAGGCTCCCGGATGCGGCGTGGCTAAAGAGGAGACAGATCAGTGGGAGGTAAAAACTCCTCCTGGGCTTTCCCACCCGACCTGGTCCAGAACCGGTCCAGAACTGGTCCCTGTTCTGGTTCAGGGCCCAGAACTGGGCTGTTCTGCTCCCAGATAAGGAATTTGTTCCATTTTTGGACGTCTTTCTCATCCATGTTTGTTCCATTTCCCCTCAAAGATTTTTTCTTTTGTTTATTTTTTTAAACTCTTATAGTTTAAGAACATTTCAGGAAACCGTCTGTGTCTCCTAAAAGTTTGTCAGAGATCAGCTGAGTCTCGAGTTAAAATCAGAACTGGACCTGGTTGGGGGTCCAAACCAGCTCTGGATCTACGGTATTCTAATTATGGGTTAGACTGATTAAAGTTGTGCTTTTTTATGGGCTTTGTAATGAATTATTTCTCCATTAAATCACACTTTCATCACTATTTGATGAAAAATAAAGGTATTTTGTTTATTTTTATTAGCATTTGCAGCAGCTACCACTGGTGACCAGAGAAGTATAAAGTACTGGAGTACAAGTACAAGTACTAAATGAAAAAATCAACTAGAGTAAAAGTTAAAGTGTTCTTTCAACTCCATACTTAAGTGGAAGTACTCCATTAATTTTTTTCTTAAGTATTGCAAGTAGAAGTATTTAAAAAATTGCTACTCAAGTATTGAAAGTACATACAATTTCGCAATCTTTCGGGAGGCATTTTTTTATAGGCTATTATGACATATGACTATTTATGACACTATGACTGGGGAGGATTAATTAAGTTTACATATCAGTAACGAGTAACAATTCAGCCCGTGAAAGTAAAAGTATTAAATTAATCAAAAATATGAAATATGTAGTGGAGTAAAAGTAAAAGTGTTAAATGAATCAAAAATATGTAGTGGAGTAAAAATAAAAGTAGGGCAAAAAATCTATACTCCAATAAAGTACAGATACTGTATGTTGATACTTAAGTAGTTCTATATCTTTACTGTACATCTCTGGTGATGACCCACTTTTCTCTGACCGGCCTGAAGGCAAATAAAGGAGCTAAACTCCATTAGGGCCAGCTATGGCCGGGGGGGCATTAGGGTAAATAGGAGCACCGGTTTCGTGTGAGTGGGCGTCTGAGGCGGGTGGAGCTCTCACTGGAGGGGTGCAGCAGGACGATGTCCTTCATGCTGAAGTCCCGCCCCCGAGCGGCCCTCGGCCGGCCAATCAGGGCGGTCAGCAGCAGGATCCAGGCCACCGGCGGCCATTTCTCCATCTCTGCATCAGAGAGCAGAAACCGGGGCTCCCACTCCGTTTTCAGGCTAAAAACAGAAGGGACAAGAGGGTTAGAGGTCTAAAAACTGTGAACTTTAACCCTATAATGCCAAATGTGTCATATCTGATTCATACGGTTTCTGAAGTCTTTTGGATCTGAGACTTTTTGCATCATTCAGTGGTAAAAGCTTTGCTCAAACCCCTGTTGTACACATTCAGATATACCTGATAACAGCCAGTAGAAGACTACACCAAAATACATTTTTGACTTATTGCACGCTAATTTGATCAAAATAATTTCTGTTTTTTTTCTTTATATGTTGTTGAGGGGCCAAAGAAAGACTTCAGACTAAAAAAAAATCCAATATTCTTCCTATTTTTCTTGGATCAGGCTTTAAAGGGTTAAAAAGATAAGCACAGGCTAATCTCAGCAAAAGGAATCAGAAATACTTTAAATCTGGAGAGGTGGAAATCCAGCAAGTCTGTTAGCGTTAGGAGACACTTGGATATAGTTTAATTAAGTGTTTGTAAGATTTATTTCACTATTTTTAAATGAATGTCTATATTGCCATGAAGCAATTAGGATTTCTTTCCTGGGATCTTCCTGTTGGTGACCTAATCAAAATGGCAGACGGACTTATTAAGGAGTAGTTTCTGGTGGCTGGTTTTTGCTGGAGGCCATCAGAGGCTGTTTCTGCTGTGGGTTTTGGGGTTTTTGGGGTTTTGGGTCGAATCAGCAGATTACAGCCTCCTGACCTGGTTCCTCCCCTTTGTCCAGGCCAGCAGATCCTTACAGTTTCAGAGTTAGACATGCCCCAGTAAAGCCCCAGTAAAGATTTAACCAACAGAAACACGCTCACATTTATCTGTTGGAAAACGTAGCTTTAAAGGTTGTCGTTTTTCTTTTTTAAAATATATTTTTGTCCCTTTTTTCAGCATGTTTTGCAGGATATTTGGTTTAAATAAACCCAGAATCTGAGGCAGGTGTTTAATATTATTGAATAATTAAATTGGTGGTTGAGGCTACTGTGGAGTGGAATAAGTAGAAGACGACCTGTAACCAAATCTGAATCCGTCCTCTTATATTAATAATAATATAATAATTTCCCTCTGGGATTATTAAAGTATTTCTGATTCTTCTCACTCAGAGTCCATCTGCCTCTAGAAAAATACCCACAAATCCTCCTGGTTTCTCTTTCAAACCTGACTCAAGTCGAGGCTTCTCTTCTCTTTTGCCAAAAAGTCCACTTCTACTGGATTATGTGGATGTTATTTAATGCTCTGCTCAGAGAACTGAGCTTCACCTCAAACCTTAAAGCCCCACATGCTTCCACTCAGATGAGTCTATTTCTGCTGAGCTCCAGAGTTGTTTAAGGACATTTATCCAATAAAAAGAGCTGGAGCTGACTGTCTTTAGGCCCATTAACTTCTGTTATTAGTCCCTGGTGCTGAACTAGAGAAGTAAAATGTCTAAACTCTAAACCAAGTCTCTCAAAATAACTAGAACATGGATGAGAAGCAGATGATCTGTTTGTGCTGACTTAACCCTTAAACTAAACATCTGTCTGTAACTTTGTGTTTTATAATGGTCCCTTTTTATTTATGATGGTTTTCACTAAATGCCCTTCTTTGCCAGGACACTTTTGGACATTTTCCTCATTAATTAAAGGTTAATAAAGCTGAATAACCAAAGCTCCATAGGATAAAGTCCCATTTCAGGGAACTTGTGAGGTAAATTCAGCTTCAGGCTGCCTGTAAATGTGATGGATTTTTTGTCTTTAAGTGTGTAAATATAAACCAGAGGCTCTCAGAGAGGATTAGATTATGATTATATATTAGATTATTCTACTTAATGCTACTACCTGCCATGTCTTTCCTCCTAATTGGCTGATTCTTTGAAGCTGACGTGGAGCTAAATGTGAAAAACGAGGGAGTGGACCCCCCCGATGGGTGTCAGGAGCAAACTAAATCAAACCTCTGACCACCAGGATTGCCTTTGAAGTCCAGACAGACACATGTGGCCAGCTTAAGCGGTCATACTTTGGTCCCTCACCTCTGCAGACTCGTGAGTCACTGCTCAACCTTTGTCAGCTTCTGACTAAACTCTGCCTCTCGTTAAAGCTTTCACTCCCCAACAACTCTCTTTAAATCCTGAAAAAGTCAGAAACAAACAGCTTTACTCAACCTGTTTTTGCCTTTTCAGGATTTAAAAGTTAGGGATGGAAGCAGAAACAAAGATGGAGCTCTAAAACAGTGGATCCAGAAGCTTGTTTCTTAATTCAGTTAAAGAATTTGACTCATCTCTGAGGCTTAATCTGTCTAAGTCAATAAGGATGTTATTTTTTTTAAACAGTTGTTAGTTTGAGGTGATTCTCTGAACGTCCAAACTCTAAATCCGGGAATAAAACGAGTAAAATCAGCACAAATCACATCATTTGAATATATTTGTAAGAAATAAGAGTTTTTCTACTTAAAAAAATATTTATTTCCCGTTTCTACGTGTTTTTCAGCTAATCTGAGAGGATAAAGTTGGCTCGGGTAGAAATGTGACAGATTTCAGATTTTCGATGGAGCCAGAAAACACGCGCAAACGCGCCCGGTTTAGTCCAAACCCTGGAGGTCCAAACCCTGGAGGTGTTTCCTACCTGACCCGGTCCTCGTGCAGCTGCTCCAGACGCGTCTTTCTGGATGAGAAGCGTCTGAGCCTCAGTGCGCATGCGTCACGGACGCGTCACAAGCCCCCACTCCCACGACCCACCGGGACCGAGACCAGGGGACACGTCCGTGTTTTTACTGAGAGGAGAAAACTGAGAACACGCCTTCTGTTGTTTTCCAGTATGAGGAGTTAGGAAATTTATCAAATCATCATTTTTAGTTTGAGGAACTCCATCTCTGTCTTCTCCTTAAACCCTTTAAAGCCTGATCCAAGAAAAATAGGAAAAATATTGGATTTTTTTAGTCTGAAGTCTTTCTTTGGCCCCTCAACAACATATGAAGAAAAAAAACAGAAATTATTTTGATCAAATGAGCGTGCAATAAGTCAAAAATATGTTTTGGTGTAGTCTTCTACTGGCTGTTATCAGGTATATCTGAATGTGTACAACAGGGGTTTGAGCAAAGCTTTTACCACTGAATGATGCAAAAAGTCTCAGATCCAAAAGACTTCAGAAACCGTATGAATCAAATATGATACATTTGGCATTATAGGGTTAAAACCAAAGCAGGTGTCTTTGGAGGGTTTAACCTTTAGAAGCTCCTGTTTCTGTTAGAATAAAGCATGCAAAGCAAATGAAATGATCTGAATCCGTTTTTCTGACACTGTCTGAACACATAAAGCCCCAATAAAGTCTCCTCTGGAACCCAGAGCCTTCAGAGTGAGCCCTCCTACAGCTCAAGCTGTCTGACATTGCTCAGTTTTAAACTCACAGCTTCTGTTACATGTTGAAAACTCAATTTTGGATTTTTGAGAGCCAAAACAGACAAAAGTCTTAAGAATATTGGAGTTTTATTTGTGTTTATGTGACATTTTCCTCATCTATGTTTTTTTCTTCTTAGTTTTTAATGACATCTAAGAGGAAAATAGATTTTTTCTCCTCTTATCCCCCCCAAAACACACATAGATTATTCTTTGAAATCTGGAGCTTGTATTAAAACATCCACACGTTTTTTTCTTCAAGATTAGGATCAGGATCAAACGAACGTCTCTCAACAAAAAGAAGCATCCTTATTATCTCTGCCTTAATTTAGAGGAAGACACACCCTGAACTGCCTGACATTCCTTTGGTCAAAGAACAGGTATGCTGGAGCGGACTTCATTCAGATGAGAAGCCATCACTTACCATCAGATAAATGCTGAGGGGAGCAGGTCTGAAAGGGTCCATACAGGAACTCCTCAGAGTTAGGCACCCGGCTGGAGACAGCAGCTCCTGAGAAACAGGAATTCAGGAGCATGTGGGCACAGATGTGCTGGGATATCTGGACAGATGGTCTTTCCAGGGTGGGAAAAGCTCCCAGCAGCACCTAAAAACATGACAAAATGTCCCAGTGGAGTTTGCTTTAGAGGTTTCATCCCAGGGCAAAAATGAGTGTTATACAAAGTTTCTGTCACTTCAAGCAATAAACGTTTTTGCATTTGTAGCCAGGCCTAAATAATTCCTAAAAATGATAGGAATATAAGGTGTCCATTTTGGGTCAAAATTGTATTAAAAGTATTTTACCATACAAAGAAAAGTATCAATAGAAGATTTAAAATACCTAAATCAATATTTTATGGTATAGTGTAATAATTTTGGAGGAAAATGACAGAAAACTCGGTTTAAACTGTGAGTGACGTTGTTCTGCCGTTTGACCAGAAGATGGCGCCAAAGCGCCCAAACTGTTTACAAACCGCCCAAAAAACACCAGCAGAAGAAGAAAGGAAGTCGCCATCTTTGAATTTTTGGATGGAGTGAGCGGCAGTTTGAGCTTTGAACTAACATTTAAAACAAATTCAGGGCTTTTTTTTATTTTATTTTTTTACCACAGAAAGGAGGGAATGGCCAACAGAAACACGCAGCAGGCGAAGGCCCCCGGCGGTAACTCCCCGGACTCTCCGGTTGCCGAGCAACCGGCGGCGAACAAAGACAGCCCGGCCCCCCCGGAGCAGCATCTTTCTCCCGGGGAAGAGCCCGCGGAAGCCCCGGAGGAGGGCCAGGAGACCCGGTCCCAGATGACCCTGGACCTGGCCAGCTTCCGGAAGCCCGGGGAGAAGACGTTCACCCAGCGATGCCGCCTGTACGTGGGCAGCCTGGCGCCGGACGTGTCGGAGGAAGAGTTCAGAAACATGTTTTCCAAGTATGGAAACATCAGCGAGGTGTTCCTCAACAGGGACCGGGGATTTGGCTTCGTCCGCCTGGTACGACCCCCAAAACATCTCTCATTTTAGGGCTTTTTATTCAGGGAAATCCAAAGAAGGGATGGAGGAACTGAACTGATTGTTTTTTATGTCAAAGATGGTAATTTTTATAACAAAAAGAAGCAATTTATTTGATTAACTAAGGGATGGAGAAACTGAACTGATTGTTTTTAATGTCATATATGGTCATTTTTATTAAAAAAACAAGCTATTTATTTGATTAACTAAGGGATGGAGAAACTGAACTGATTGTTTTTAATGTCATATATGGTCATTTTTATTAAAAAAACAAGCTATTTATTTGATTAACTAAGGGATGGAGAAACTGAACTGATTGTTTTTAATGTCATATATGGTAATTTTTATTTAAAAAAAACAAGCAATATATTTAACTAAGGGATGGAGGAACTGAACTGATTGTTTTTAATGTCATAGATGGTCATTTCTATATAAAAAACGCAACATTTATTTGATTAACTTTGTATTAAATAGAAGAAAAATCTGGAATTTGAATGGGTTTGATAATAGTTAGTACAGTACAGTATTTCTCATAAGTCCTCTCAGCTCTCTGTTAGAGGATGGATTGTTATTGTTGGATTTGATGGAGATCATCCAGTTGATGAACCTCTCATCATCCTCATCAAAGTGACCTTAGCTCTTACTCCTGGAAAAGTGTCCAGAATGAGGTTGGACCAAACAAAAGTCCCAGCATCATCTCTCCATCCATCAGTTTGGAGATTCAGCCCTAAATGTCACTTTAATCCCTCCGTCCAGGTTCCA